ATTAAAAACCAATTTAAATAAATATAAAATAAAACTTAGACAGGTATACACTATAGACGTATAGTCGTCGTTGTATTTTGTGTTTTATCATAGGACAGCACTAGTCAATCAGATCAGATGCTAAATAATATATTTTTCAAATAAAAATGTCGACAGTTATAATTGGCAACTATTGTTTTGTATAACTGAAGTCATAGGAGCGATCATAAGACGTAATAAAATAAAAATATTAATAAAAAAAATTATATTTAATTGTATTGAATTTTTTGAATGAATTTAAGCTAATAGTGTTTATATAGTTTTATTTATACATATAAAATATACTAAAAATGCCTTCAAACTATAAAAATGTCAAAAATATGCTCTTAAAATCAATAATGAAAAAATGCAAAATAAATATAAATTGTTTTTAATTATGCATGAAACAAATTTTTTGATTGGAAAGCTATGGTTTAGAAAATTCAGAAAAAAATGCAATTTATATTTAAGGTTGAACCCTAGTTATAAATAATAATTTCTGATGATGCATCGATGCCACGCCGAGGGGGCGGATAATCTGCCGAACCGAAATCTAAAATCTTAAACAGCTAATAATATTTGCTATATAACTATATAACCTAACTTTTATAATATATTATATAAACAATTTTTCACACTCACCCGTTATAATATGAAAATACAAAATATTTATAATTTATATTTATACCTACTGATTTTATTATGAATATATAATAATAACAAATTATTTTTGAGCAGCGGCCTACCGGGAAAGTTTCCGGTCGCCTGATAAGTAACCTTCCCTATCTAGCGCTGGACCTACCTTGAAAATACGTACCAAGGTACCTTAGAGCTTAAAATTATTAGGCTCAATAGTGTTGTGGTAGGTAATATAGGTATACTCAAACTCAACACTTGTGTTATAACTATATTAAATATAATAATATTAATTATTCAACTAAAATAAGTCACATTGAAAAAAAAAGTTTTTGATTATAGGTTCTAAGGTTTAAACTTTTTTAGTGAACTGTTTAATTAGTTGAACTACTTTTTTTATAAGTAATATTTTCATAACTATAAACTGATAATAATAATTTATTTGAAAGGAATAAAACGGGCAACTGCCCAATAGTACAGGTAGGTCGGCTTTAATATGTATTAAGTATTATATTATGTGTCTTTAGACTTAACCTTACTTAACAATAAGTATAATTATACCTAAGGTTAAATTCTTGTTTTATTTCTTGCAAAAACAACAATGGTCAAAAAATAATGTTTTATCCTTAATTATTTTAATTATCAAGTTATTTTATTATAATATGAAAACCACCGGTCATTGAGTGTTAACCTGTATTTTTGTTTATTAACACAATAGTTGTACTATAATATAAAATATAAATGTTTTATTATAAATTTATAAATTAGCATTTACAATCTTTGTAAAGAAAATTTTATATAATTTTTTTTTTGGCCTGGTACATGTATAATATTTTGTGGGGGCCCTTGGTTTGACTATTCTTGAGGTAAACTATTAAAATTAAAACACAAAATATTTAATACAGTTATCATAATAATTAAACAAATTAAATAATTACTTGTGTAGCATAATGATATCAGTTCTACATAGCGGACAACCTCTTCTACCTTCCCGCAACCACCCCTCAATACATACTCTACAGAAATGGTGCTGGTAAGGTACTACTGTAGTAGTAGAAATTACAAAAACAATAATAATAAATGTTTTACCTATACTGGTACCTAAGTTCGTTTTTTCCCCGCGATAATTACAACATGTCCATAAGCGGTGTAGTAAACTGACAGAGTCGCTTTCCTATAATTATACATCATAAGGACTTTGCACTATATGATATATTGATCAACAACTATAACATGCCCTGAGGTTTCTTATACACCATTGAAAATCGCATAACGATTTCTAATAATACATATTGCCAAATAAACCAGTTCGCAACTCAAGGTTTATTCGACAACTTTAACATTTACGTCGGTACCTTTCAAACCGCCGGTATTCCTTTGATCCACCTCCGAGTCTGTACCGTGTACCTAATAACCAAGGGAGACTTTGTATATATACGAGTCTCCGTCTGTATCTAAATTAGAATTAGCGCAGTGCTAGTACGACGTACATACTTGTAAGTACTTAGTATTAACCACTAATCTCTCGGGCAGACGCTTATCGCTCTGTCCTCAAATTTCTATATTCAAATGTAATACCATTATATTATTATTAACTTTAAAATAAATTACTTAAATTATAACGTTGTAACTTGTAAGTCTGAAACCTTTTCTCCTACTCAATCATCAACGTCGTCAAACTCAAAATATAAGCGTTAGTGAGGGATCACTACAGTACCTAGTGGCTAGTAATTTAACAAAAAGATACAGCTGTTTAAAAAATAATGTTTTTTTACAACATAATTGTTGCACATTTATAATACAAGTTACAACAACTAAAATATAAAAATATAAATTGTTCGTTTATAGATATTTTACCTAATAGAAAAAACAAATATTATAAACTGATTCAACTAAGACATGGTAAAAACTAAAAGTTAATAACAAATTAAAACCGTTTTAAAAATTAAAATTCATCCAATTAAAGACCTGCAGTTTTGTCTGGAAAGTTATTCTAAAGTCTAAATACAACATTTTGTGTAGGTAATAACTAATGATTAATGACCATTAGAAGTATTAACTATTAAGTACCTATTAACAAAATATTAATAGGACGGTCGACCCTCGTGTGTTGTCTTCATGGTTCTGAATAATCCATTTAACTCATAATAATTAATATTGAAGCTAATTTACCAATCATCAAATTCAAAAGTAAGAATATTATCAAGTGGATCTTACAGGGAATTTTAATATTTTAATTTTAATAATATAATACAATACTTCTTATTTACTTTTACAATAAATACCATCATTTTAAAATGTAAGTTTATAATAAATATTAAATACATTGAAGAAGATAGTTTTACATATTGTTACTAAAATTGTACAGAACATAAACTTATATATTATAGTTGTGAATATAAATTATAATAAAATTATAATTTTTTGTACTGAAATAAAATGTAGCTATAATTCATAAAAATGTATGTTCATCATTCACCATAATGAATAGCCAATAGGTACCTACCTAGCTACTACTAGCTACTACTGAATACCTACTATTATCACCAGTTAAACATTTTTAATAAATAGGAACATAACATTATGATATTCATAATAGTTGTTTCAATACTAAGTCAAATATTTTTGATACAAAATAAAGGGTTTGAATATTAAACTACTATACTTTGGTATAAGTAATAGTTAAGTAAAATATGCAAATTGTTGTGTACAAAAAATATATTCATTTAAATTTTTCACAATTTCAAAAAATAAATTGATAGTTAAAAATGTTACAATACAGGTAAATTACACATAACTTACAGTTTTTATTATAAACAATTAAAATTAAATACATATTATTATAAATTATAAACACAATTTATGAAGTACAACATTTTATTAAATGGCTTTTCTGCATTTTCATATGCTTTGAAATAGCAAAGTCAAAAAAAACTCATCCAATTTTTTTTGTGATTCTGCATATTGAATACAAACATTGCAAGTATGTTTTTCAATACATTTTTATCATTAGAAACCCACAAACATATTATATAAAAGCATTTTTTTCAGGCATCGATAAATTTCTATAATCTGGGGTACCTATCTATTGTAAGTGTATTTTTTTCAAATTGAAATGGATCTCTATCTTGAAATATTATTTTTATGTTTTTGTCATTAAAAGAATTTGTATTAATTTTAGATAAAATTTCATCGAAGGGTGCTATGCAATTTGCATTGTCCGAGTGAGTAAAATAATGAAGGTAAAATTTTTGTTTGAATGACCAGATTAATTGTATTGGATTTGGATTAATATTATTTCAATTATGCTGGGTGTGAAACGTGCCAAATAAATTTTATAACTCATAAACTACTCAACCCAAATTCGATTTTCATGTATCAAAATACTAAGAAAAATATTCTGCTTTGGAATATAAAATTAAAACCGTATGTTGTCATTCAAAAAAGTAAAAAACTTAAAAAATTATAAGGATAAAAAATATATAAAAATATAATTTTTTTAATAAAGACGTTGTTTTATAAGCGACTTGAAACTATGTAAAAAAATATTTTCAACAAAATTTACACTTTTTGAAATAATGAGTGTTGTTTGATAAAAGAATCACCCAGTATATATAAGGATATATAAAAATATAATTAATTACACATATATATATTAAATATTTAAATATTATCTCGAATATTATAATATCAATTAATAGTAAGGATAAAATATGTAATTGAACCATTATTTTATTTTACCATTTTCACCATATTAATTATTAGTATAAACTACCGTCTGTAGTATATACTATATACTATTAATTACCTATATATAATATATTAGAGTTAATTCACCTATTATCAATCTTTAACCCTCTAAAATCTACCGGGTTAAGATACTCAGAACATTGCCTGTATCTGGATATGATAAAATTACACAGTGTATGAGACATGTTGCGTTATCGTTTTTTATAATTTTTAGAATACATTTTTTATTTTTTATTTTTTAATACTGAAACTAAAAAACTTAAAAATTGTCATATCTTAAATATAGTCATAGCTCTCGCTATGACTATACATAAGTCGCAAGGTGGAACTTTTGAAGTAATAGTATATGAGTATAGTAAAACACATTCACAAGAACTCGTTTATGTTGCGCTCTCTCAGTCTCTCGTGTAACAAATATTGAAAATTTGTATATTGTGACAAGTGATGATTCTACATTTAAATTTTATCATAATCGAAGGCAAGCTACAACAATCGCTTCATTGTTGCAAGAATTTAAAAGACTATCGTTGAATTGTGTGCAGACAAAAGCTCAAAGTGTCTTAGATTTTATTAGAAATAGAAATGGTGTTTCAATTATGACTTTCAATTGCCAAAGTCTTAACAGTCAAAAATACGATTTACAAGATTCCGTAACTAGACAAACAAATGTAATACTTCTAAGTGAAACTTGCATGTCAAATGATTATCCGATCGACATACCTAATTTCAATTGCATCGTTCATTTCAAACGAGATACTGTTTCAAAGGGTGGGGTAGCAATTTACCAAAATAATAATGATACTATCAATAATATGACTCCGAATATTGATATAAATGTGGCAAATGTTGTAGATTTAATGTTAGACACTCATATGTTGGAGATATTTGTGCGTGCTTATGCTAACTTCAAAATGGCCTAGAAATAGTCATTGTAGTAATTTATATTACTTGAAATCCAAAATTGGACGAGGTAGAATATTTTATTCGTCGCACTTTACTGGAGTACACTGTAGAAGGGTCAAAAATACTTGGTGGAAATTCCCATAAATTTCCACTTATTTTGGCTGGCGATTTCAACATTAACTTAGCTGATAAAAAATCAGAGCGACTAACAACGTTTCTCTTAGAAAAATTAAATGTACGTATAAATAATGATCCACAAGAATCTACTACAAAATATGGGACCACCATCGACGCCATATTTTGTAGATATTTGGAGAATATTAAATCTCAAACTTATATTTCATATTTTAGTTATCATAAGCCTATAGTTTCTATGATACAAATTATTGAATAACTAGAATAATAAAAAAATTTTAAATTATATCAACTTCTTATTTATTTAATATGCAAAAGCTTTATCGCGGCAGTCCCCGAGTGCCACTTGATTTTTTTAATCGACTGGAGCCCCCTTAACATATTATATTATTAAGAATAATATTAAGGGTGTCGGTGTCGGTCATTTATTAAGGAGTACAATTTAGGCAATTCAATTCACATGTTGTATCGACCTCGCGCTGAACTTGCATGTTTGTGAGTATGTAAATCGATATTACCCTGATAGACATTTTGTAATGGTAATATTATAATATTAATAATATTATCATTATAAAATGCAAAATCCAGCTTCTATAATTATAAATTTCAATATCAGGCTTTGATCCTACCTTCAAAATGTACTCTACTTATAAAAAAAAATTAACGAAATCCAACTATTCTACAGGACGTGAGAGTTTTTCCTGTAAGACATGTTTTTGTACCAAAAAACGCACCGGATCCGACCTAATTAATAAGTAAATAAATCCATCTAATTATTAAAAATAATATTAATATGTAAATAAATCTATCTAATTACTAAAAATAATATTAATAAGTAAATAAAACAGTATTGGCTAAAAATAAATATATTGTAATTTTGTGTACCAGAATGTATGTAATGTATAACTCATAACTATAAGCCATACATTGTAGAAATAAATATAAATATTAAGTACCAAACTTAATTATTGTTACTTGACAGAAAAAAAAAATATGATGGTAAAATAAGATGCTATGAAATGAATTGTTATTTAAAATGGTTGACTGCACATTTAAACTTAAAGTAAACAAAAGAAAACATATTCAGAAATTAAAGTAAACAAAACGAACCATATTATTCAGAAATTAAATAATCAACCAGTATAAACAGAATATTTATAAAATTAAAAAAAACAATCTAATGAGTTAAACTAATAACATGTTATGCCGAGTTCCCCTAATGCCTGAATACTCCATGTAATTGAAGATACACTACTAAAAGGGTAAGTAAGTGGATGTCGCTCTGCTGTACAGTAGGTTACAAGTGGGTCACTGTATAATGGATGCTATTAAATTTGAATTCAATGATACAATATCATTGTATAAGAAAAACGATTCTGAGCGAAGACAGTACCATGTCAGTCTAGGTTTAAGACATATTATATACATATCTATGGTATTAAAAAAAATTGACCTATAATAAATTCCAAATTAATCATATCACAATATCCATTAAGTACTTATAACACTCGTGTTGGTACATCAATAACAAACCCTGATACTATCATAGATATATAATATAGTGTACTTTTTTTTCGGTGTCGTTTTTTTCCGCGATTCACTAATAATAATACTATAATATTTATAATCAATGAAAATAGTAAGCAAATAGTAATGTTAAAGCATCATTTTGTATTTAGTGACGACGTGTTTCACTACGTTTAACGTTTGTGTTCATTTTATGCATTTGCAAATAATAATACATTTATAAAAATGAGTGATTGGCGATTCAGTAACAAAACTCGTCCAAAATTATCTGCGCCACGGAAAAAATCAAGGCATAATTTGAAAAATCTGCATTCCAAAATTACTAAAACCTTAGAGAACAACGATATTCAGGTATCTATGTGTTTATTTTGTATAATAAATAAAAATAATACCTTATAATGTTATAGATATAAATAACTAGAGGCAGATTTTTTTACCGTTATATGGCATATAGGCATTTATTACAATTCAATATATTTTAAAATAGGCATACGCTGTAAAAAATAAGTGTTATAATAAATTTGCCGCCCTAGGTATCTCCCTAAAATGCCTAATGGTAAATACTAAATCCGTCTCTGATTATATTATAATTAATCAAATTATATTTTACATTACATAAGTAAATATAATAATAATTATGGTGTATTATTCATTGATTTTTGTAATAGATTTCGGATCATTCTAATAATTCAAATGAAAATAATGATAAAAACATTGATTGGTCTTATAGCAGGTGATTTGTATTTCATTGTTCTATTATAATTATTAATTTTTAATTTTCTATTATTTTTCAAAAGAAATACGAACGATGCCACAATGTCACTACTATATATAACAACATATTTCAACCCACATACAAATTAGTAGTATCGGACAGACATAAAATAAACGCAGAAGAGTAAGTGATTAATGTTTATTAGTATAACTACAATATACATTATAGGTGCAATGTGTTTAGTTTTTATAAATTGGTTTCTTTACATTATTGTTATAATTAAAAAACAAACAACCTCAGAAAATTCAATTTTTACCAAGTGTTTATTTTATCATTCGTTATACATAGTATAATTTTCAAAATATTTTGACTTTTTTGAGCAATTTTTTTGCAGTTAAAATTTTCAATTTTTTTTTTATTATTTACAATCTGTATATAAAGCTTTTGAAAACTTCTGGGAATTTTAAATTTCTAACTCCCTAATGCACCAACTAAATTCACTTTCCCATCGAACAAAATACTGAAGTTGAAAATAGAAGCATTAATTGTGTATATTTTAACCTATTTACGTGGAACCTTATTTTAAATTTTCGATCCTTAGCTATAAAAGTTGAACATTTTATACATTTTTAACTAGAAAATAGACCGAAAAATCCAGACCGAGACTATGGATGTATTCAAGAAGAACCTCGAATATTAAAAAAATAAAATTTTTAGAGCTTTTATCAAAGACTAATGAAGAAATTAAAACATTAGAAGAGTCAACGAAAAATCAGTCTGAAAGCGAACTATGGAAAGTAGAGAGAAGTATACAACTGACAGCCTCAAATTTTGGAAATGTTTGTAAGGTACGAGCAACAACTTCAAGGATAAATACTGTTAAAAGTATATTATATAATACATTTTCCGGTAATTTATCGACAAACTATGGCATCAAAAATGAACCTATAGCAAGAATTTCCTTCGAAAAAGTGATCAACTTAAAAAATTAAACTGACTGGTTTATTTGTTGATAAAACATATCATTTTTTGGCTGCAAGTCCTGACGGTCTAATCGAAGACGATGGTATCATAGAAATTATAAATGTCCATACACCATTAAAGATCTCACACCTGAAGATGGTATCCAAAATGGAAAATTGAAATTTGCGACAGTCATCGATGGAAAATTAAATTTAAAAACAAATGATAATTACTATTATCAAATACAAGGACAATTACACATAACACAAAGAGCTTACTGTTATTTCGTCGTGTGGTCATCCAAAGGTACGTAAATTATACTTATATAGTTTTATAGGTATCTTGTCAAAATGTCATATCGTGGAATAACTTGCGATACCAAGTAAAATAATATTTTGTACTAAGTATTCTAAAGTAGCTAATCACTACTTGAAAATTGTACAGCTACAGTATAAGTTATTCATTTTTTATTTACAATTTACAACATAATTTATTCTTACATTGTTGCGGCCACATTTTGACGAGGATCCAGTGTTACAAATGTACATTGTACAATATTACTTGATTCACTAAATATTTCATATATCATTCTCATTTACGTTTTCAGGCATGTCGTACCAAAAGATTGTACGAGATGACTTTTTTTTCGAACTACGAATGCAGCAACAGTTAATTTCATTTTACTACCACCATTTGTCACTTGAAATATTAGATTCCCGTTTTAATCGTGGTTTACCCATCAGGGATTAGTTTTTAGCTTTTTTCGTAGTAATGATGTAATATATATTCAATTAAAATAACGACTACAATATTCATAATATGTATTATTAAGTCTGTGATAAAAAATAAATGATTTTAAATGTAAACAATTTTAAAATATTTAAATACTATCTATATATTCCTATTTCTTATACTATACATTATTATATTATTGTAATGTAATAAAACTAAATCCAAGTATAGTCATAAATCATAATTAACCGTAATATAAATTATTATCGGTAAATATTGTAATTATAAAATCATTAAAATCCCAACAATGGTTTTACGATAAAGACGCGAACAGCGACCCAACACTCAAATACGCCCGCAGTATCTACACTACCTGTTGATAGGGCGGAAGGTAGATACATACTAGAACCGCACTCACACTATTTTATTATTTGTTCACTCAGTTGTAGGTAATAATGTTTATCAACAATTATATTTTTGAATACAATCATATTTAATTAAAATATATAAAAATTGTTAAGTTCAGTTGTTACCTATATATAATATATATAATTATTAATTACATATTTTAAAGAAAACTGTAGGTGCTGGCCGAAAAGGGAACGGTAAGTTTTGGCCGAAAAGGGACAGTGGCCGAAAATGGAAGGGTACATTTTGGCCGAAAATGCTTACGCCCATCTACACTACCTGTTGATAGGGCGGAAGGTACATATTAGAACCGCACTCACACTAGTCGCTGGCAATTTTCAGTTGCGCGTTAGTTGTGCAATAGTTTAATTGCATGGGTGACTTCCACATTGATATTATATTATGATTTATGACCATCAGCTCACATGCAACTTATCAGATTGACCAACTAATTAGTTTGTGTTTTGTCACAAATCGTTCGAATGCTTGATTAAATGCAATTGTTTTGTATCATTAACTTTTAACGGGCCTCAGCTCACTTGTCAATGTTGTCATCAGACAGTTGTGAGGTTCACGTTTCCACTTTTTTTTTTTTTTTAAAAATGAACACTACAAATATGAACGTAAGTGAAGTGCAGCAAGGTGATTATTATAAAATATTTTACTAATTACTATCTATCTAATCTATTACCTACGTGGTAAAAAAATGGAAATTGTCTGCTTTGCACAAAAATACTTATTTATAATAATGTTAACGAATAACGATTAATAATCGACATTATTTTGTCATAATGATAAGTTAGTTATATACATATAAATATTAATACTGTGTGTTATAATATTATGGTACATTATTATTATTATTTATTAGTGATGGGTTGAACTGTTCGGTTTGAAATATGAACTCGGCATGCAAAAATGCCTCGATTGTCAAAGACCAAACAGAATATTTTGTAAAATTCTTCAAAAGTTATTTAAAAAAAATGTATAATGACTATTTACTATTTAAAATATTTTGAAAATGTTATCGTGTATAGAAATGTAAATATAAACAACCACTGAAAATTTCATGTATCTACGGTCATTTGTTTTAAAGTTACACCAAAAACCAAATTCAATTTTCTGAAAAATCGATTTTGCTTAAGAATTCCCGTTTTTCCTTAGTTTTCTTTTTTATTATTATTTTATTATTTATTATTTATTTACAAACAAACAGTGAATAAGTACAATAAAGCGATAGGAACATTTGTTTGATACCTTCTTTAAGCAATTGCTTGTGTTGAAGGTGATGAGTTCATCATAATATCTTAATATCTAAAGTTTACACCGATCAGTTCTAATATTAAATTATTATTAAAAGAAAAAAACAAAACAAAACAAAACGTAAATTTAGAAATCGAATTAAATCCTTATAGAAAACTTATGTGACTCATTATATAAGATTTAAAATGCTTAAAATTACTGAAATTATTAACATTAATTGACATTCTATTATATAGTGAAAGTGCTCGATTTAGGCAACTTTTATATCCAAATTGTTTGTTACATTTTGGAATAGTTACATTTATATTTTTCCTAAATATAGTATTTTAATCATGATTACAAGGAGGTAGGTACATTTCGGTGAAACACGATTGCGTACGGTCTTTATTGACATACGCAATCGTGAACATTTAATGTTCACGGTTGCGTATGATTTTTATCTGCAACTTTGAAGCACTGTTGCCATTTGCTTTGAACTAATAGAACATACAATTTAAAATTAATTGAGAGGCGATAGGTGATATTTGATAGGCGATAACGAAATCGGGTATTTTACTAGGATATTTTAGGATACTCGCACCCGATAAAATATGTATACTGCAATATGCGTATCGTTTAATAAACGAAGTCAGTGAAGAACCGTCGTGAGATTATCAACCTCTTAGCGTGTTTCGTGTTTTTCGAGTGAAATATGGAAAATAAAGTTAATTTTATAACTTCTGAAAAAGGCAAACCACTAGTTTTACTAAATTTACATAAATATCGGTTTATTAGGGAAAGAAAAGACGGAATTAAAAAATGGCTGTGTACAAAAAAATCATGTTATGCTAGCATTTTGACAAATGGAGAGTATGTCCATGAAACAATTAATGAACACCACCACCCTGAAAATTCACAACAGAGCATTGAACGACAAGTACTATGAGAAGCTTGTAAAAGAAAATCAAATAATACTATTTGTGTCAGACCCATAAAAATAATTATAAACGAACTTATGGGGAGCAATGGCAATCACTCTGAAATCGAGCACAGAGATGTACGGTCGATTCGAAAAGCAATGTACGATAAACGTCGAAAAAATTATCCCGCTTTTCCAAAATCACTAAGGGAGTCAATTGAACAACTTAAAGCAATGGAAGATGACGATATAATACAATTTCAAGGTAAACAATTTGTTTTTATTCCCGACAATAAACTGTTTGTTTGTGTTACTACTGAACAAAATCTTACTTTTATGACAAGTACAAGTGAATTTTTCGCTGATGGTACTTTCAACTATGCACCAAAATTTTTTGCCCAACTTTATACAATCAATTGTTTTAAAAATGGGTTTTATGTGCCAGTGGCATACTTTTTATTACCAAATAAATCAAAGCAAATTTACGCAGACATGTGGTTGTTTTTACAAGAACTATGCGAACAAATTATTTTTAAAAAATTGTTGGTTCTTAAACTACATTTGGATTTTGAAATCATTGCCCATGAAGCGACAAAAGAAGTTTTCCCCAACATCGAAATAGATGCATGTCGTTTTCACTTAGGACAGTCTTGGTGGCGCAAAGTGAGTTTATATAATTAAATAAATTAAGACCGATAGTACATTTGGGATATTTTTAGATTAATTCTGAAAAAGAACTTACCTTGGCCTACACTAAAAACTCCGATTTGGGAAAATGGTTCAAACTTTTTTTTGGATTACCATTTTTACCTTTTCAAGATATCCAAAATGCGTTTGGTGAACTCATATCAATTTGTCCCGATTTAAATATTGGATGTTTGTTTTCTGACTACATTTTAAATACATACGTGGAGAATGGTTGTTTATTTCCACCGGAAATTTGGGCACAAGAGCCATCCGAAAATCCCCGGTAAATATTAAACTATATAATTGTTATAATAACTATATAATTAAGCATTTATTATTTATTATTTTTTTTAAGTACGACAAACGGATCTGAAAGTTTTCATCGAACTTACAACGCTCAATTTCATAGCTCCCATCCTTCCGTCCATGTAGTTATTTCAATTCTAAAAGAAACGCAAGAGGAAACATGTACCAAAATTCAATCAGTATTTAAAGGTCGGATTAAAAAAATGGAAAATTCTGATTTAAATCGTATAAAAGAAGCCATGAAAGAATATAACAAGTACAAAATTCATAAAAATATTATAACATATTTGTCAAAAATTTGTTTTATAAGTGGTACCAAGGTATAACATTTTTATTATATTATTTTAACCTTTTATTATTTTTAATAATTTATTTTATATACTATATTATAACATATTTGTCAAAATTTGAGATTTTTAAGTGGTACCAAGGTATAACATTTTTTATTATATTATTTTAACCTTTTATTATTTTTAATAATTTATTTTATATACTATATTATAACATATTTGTCAAAATTTGAGATTTTTAAGTGGTACCAAGGTATAACATTTTTTATTATATTATTTTAACCTTTTATTATTTTTAATAATTTATTTTATATACTATGTACGAGTATATTATAACATTTTTTGTCAAAAATTGAGTTTTTAAGTGGTACCATAACTTAAGTAATTTTTTTAAAATTTAAATTTTACTGATTACACATAAAAACATAAACTTGGCAACGTTGCACAGCAAATCATACGCAATCGTTTGACTTTTGGGGTAAATATTAAAGTTAATGGTTTAACGTACGCAATCGTGTTAACGTACGCAATCTTGTGGTACCCGTACATTTTATGTTTAAAACTTAATAGCAAGGTACATTTAATAAGAAGTTTATCGATGTCTAAGACATTTAGTTCTTTATAAATAAATGTAGTACAAGTAAGAATAATAGAAAGTTTTAAAATAAATTTAACAATCTTATTAATAGTCGATTTTAATTTGATCAAGTGAATTTCATAAGCACCACCCCATATCTCGATACCAAATGCAATAATTGATTGAACTAGGGAAATATAAATAATTCTAAGTTGATGTTAAATTTTAAATTTCGACCTCCCCAAGCACCAACGATATTCACTTTCCAATCGAACAAGATACTGAAGTTGAAAATTGAAGCATGATTTCGACTACTTATCGTGTACACAGACACAAAAAAAAATTAAAAAATTAAAAAAAAAACACATCATTGTAAAATCAATACATTCATCGTTCCACTCAGAATCTAAAAACTAAAAAGTGGGAACTTCGTTTTCAAGTAAACTTCATAATAAATGAATATTAATAATAAATATTTATTTTGAAGTTATATCCGATGACTAGGATAGTCGGTATAATTGCCGTAATATAGGTAATATATTTTGGTAGAAATCACAGACGGAAGAATTAATGGGCTTTTATATTAAATAAATTGTGTTTTCATTTGTATTAAAAAAAATTTCAATGTTGTAATAGTGATTATTACGGTTTGCGCTTTAATCATTTTTTTTTTTATCCTTGTTGCGTGTTAACGATTAATCTGATTATATATATTTTAACAAACTTTATACTTAGGTTAGGTTAGCTGACAATATAATATACTATATTATAATTAACCCAAATCGTATTCGTATACGGTATACAAATATATAAATATAAATTATAATATATATATATCAGAGATTTTCAAACTTTATCATCCCGCGGCTCCTTATATTATATATAATAGATATTTCTATGGAATATAATAACAACAGTGATCGGAACGGTGAAGCTAAATTTCAAAATAGGTAACGATAAATGTATTAGAAAAACGAATTCAAAAACATTTTTACATACCTGTTGTATACCTTTTATAATTTTAATTATCTAAGCCTTACTACATAGCCACCGTCGTGTATTATTTCTTGTAAAACACCATTTGAGTATAGTTGCAGTCAGTACCCACTGATAGAATATTAGTAATTTGTATTTTCTAATAATTATTTTAAGGTAGGTGAGTGGGTGGGTGTTTCTGAAATATTTTCAGCAACACATATTATTTTGAGGATAGCAGCCACTGATTCGTAGAAAAAAAACTAAAAAAATTGGAAACTTAAAATGTTCCTAAACAGTTTAAAACAAATCCAAATGTTTTGAAAATTTAATCGTGTATAGAAAATGCAGCTACCAGTGAATATTTCTTGTATATACATTCATTTTTTTTTAGAGTTAAGCCAAAAACCAAAATCTATTTTTTGTGGAAAACCGATTTTGCGTAAAAATTCCCGTTTTTCCTTAATTTTTTGGTGTTTTTCCCGTCGCTTTTGAAAACTATTGGGATTTTTAAAATTTGACCTCCCTAATGCACCAACTAGATTCACTTTCGCATCGAACAAGATACTGCTGTTGAAGAAAATCGAAGCAGTTTTACTGGCCTAAACCATGATGATAGACAAAAAAATGAAAAAAAACCACACATCATTGTAAAGTCCAAGGTGTATTGATAAGGTGTCGTCACTTGTTTGAAAACTTGATTGAAAATTTTACTACAGATATTCGTCACCACCGGGAGTGCTATATGTCCTATAGAGGCAATAATAAACGAACACTTTTGTACACCAAAGCAATAGAAAATTTAAAATATAATACTATTAAGGAATAAAATTCAAAATTTTTCATTGCATAAAGACTTCTATGCTCTAAATTATTTGTATGAATGTATTGAAATACTTTCTTTTTATTAAATACAATTATTTATATTATTAAATATCTTCATTTTTAATTTTCCTATCACAAAAAAAATATTTGAAAAATGTAAGAGTTAATTCACTAAATTATCATACATAATGCTTTCAAAGTGTTACAATTAACAAATAAAAATTATTAATTATTAATTTATGTATTGATTTTAAATACAATTCATAATATGTTGATATTGAGTTTAATACTAGTATTCAAATTACCTATGTGTTACCAAAATGCATATATTTTGAATACCTTTTTATGAGAATTTATTACTCTGTTGAACCTATCACCATTGGTTTTATAATATATTCATAGTATTTATAGTACCTATATTATTATAAAATCAATGCTACTACCTATATATTATTATATATTTACAGAGTTCCTGGAATAGAAACATACCTATATGGTAAATGGTTGATAGATTTATATGGTCATCCTAGATAAGTGTTTATTTTCTTTAGACTTTCAGCTTTTATGGAAAAAGTTTTAATACTTAAATTTTAAAACTCTTATTAATACTTTTCAAAAGTATATTAAAACATTAATTTACTATACATTTAAATAATTTATCTGTGTGAAATAGTACATGTAATTTTAGTATATAAATAATTTAGAAAAAACAATTAATAATTTTGATGAAGGGGGCCTTGACAGTTTTACATTAAATTTAGAGAGCCTCATGACAAAAAAATTTGAGAAGTACTGTACTAGATTATACTGTAAAATATCTAAATGTTATAACCAGCTATCCCGGTAGAATGCATAACTAAATACTATTAGATTCAGAGACAGATTTACACAATTGCCGCCCCTAGGCAATTTTTTTTTTTGCTGCCCCATTAAACTTATCAACGAGAAAACGAATTTTTAAATACTCATTTAACACAAGTACTAAAAAAAAAATCATAAAGACTGATGAACTCAACTAAACAATAATTAATGGCAGTTATGTTAATAAACTGTTCTAATAAAATGTGTTTATAAAATATAGTGTTTATTTAAAAGTAATTTAAGTAGTAAACTAATAACCAAATATGAAGTCTATCCGCCTTGAATGTTGTGTTGAAAATAATCGAATGTCTAATCAGAATAAACCTATTTTTTACTCGGCCGCCCTCTATTTCATAGACTCATAGTTCCGAAGAAAACTAAACAATTATTACATAATTTTATCTTTTGGATAGAAAAAGTTTTATTTTTGTACACATAATGCATAGTACGTACGAGTATATTATATAAAAATATTCACAGTAACTGGTTTATAATTAGACTATCGTTCCAATACGAATCGATCGTCACCCTTAATCCTTATTCGTATTAAATATATCATATCTGTATGTATTGTGCGCATGGACGTAAATAGGGGGGGGGGCTTAGGAGGGCTTAGCCCTCCCTGAGGCATCTTAAGCCCTTCCTAAAATATTTTAATATGTAGGTTATCCTTATTATAATTAATTATATAATTTATAATATTAATTATATTAATTATATAAATTACCAATGATCATAGCTATAAATATAATAAAAGTAATAATATTTAGGTACGTTTTCGTGATCAGTTGATGGCTATTTTAAAGGCCAGCCGCTCAAACGTATCAATATATATATATTATTTCACGTGGACGTGTGCCGTATGCATGGTTGGCATGTACATACCGACTACCGGGACACCGGGTACATTTTCATCATAGAACAATATAGAAGTGTTGACAACAGTAAAAAACATGATGAACAACTTAAGTCTATTATTTCATATGATTCATTAGCTGTACCTATAAGCTCGGCAACATGTGAGAGATCTTTTTCCTCTATGAGAAGAATAAATACTTATCAAAGGTCCAACATTGAACAAGTTATAGATTTACCGATTTAAGTATTATAAATTTATAAATATAGAAAGAGAATTATCTAACCAAATTGATAATAAACAAATTTTAAACAAGTTTTCCGAGAAGGAAAGAAGGATGCAATTACAATGTAATAATTATGTATAATATTATAATTTGTAATATATATATATATTTTATATATTAGGTATGACTGTATACAACTTTGTGATTTTTTACAATAATTCAAAAATTTATTTTACATTTAATTTGTGATAGTCTTGAATTGTATCAGCATCATAGATAAAATTGTGTGTAAGTAAGGGCGGAACACAAATCTCCCAATATTTTTGTTCTTGAAACATTTTGGGCTCAAGCCCTATGCATTTGAGGACCCTATTTACGTCCATGATTGTGCGTGTAGTGTGTGTACTGTGTACGCCGTGCGATCAAACGAACTTATTAATAATTATTACGACTTAGCAAAAAAACAAATTAACGAAATATGTTATCCATGTTTAGTACCTATTTAGATAATAGATCTACGTTCCGGCAGTCGTTAGATAATTTACTTGGACGTTTATTGTTTTGTATTATAAAATAAAGAAGAAATTATATTAACAAGAATATTATTATACTTAAATATTAAACATTTTTTTTCATCCTTCAGAGTAATCACCGTACATTAGAAAATCAAAAAGAAACTTAGAGTATTCTCAATAAAATATTGACCTAAAATTGCG